GGAAACGGCATTACTGTCAGTTACGTTAAATCTCATTTCAGGTCGTCTTCCCTGCCTTTTTTTTTTCTGCCTAAATATTTTCTACTCTTTCTTTACTTATTGATTATTAAAATTTTCCTTGGCGAGAATTCTTACGCACCCACGAGGATCGTCAGAACGTAATATTACAAGAGGCGGCAGAAGTTAAGATTCGCGTCTCGTTGTCTCAAGCTTTTGTTTAAAAATTAACACGATTTATTATTATTATTATTATTATTATTTCTGAACATTTTCTTATTTAAATCCTGCTTCTTTTTGTCGTTTACCACTCTCTATCTGTAATTGGCCCCTCTCTCGCTTTCTCTTCCCTTCTTTCTCTATAATAATTGTTGAAACTTGACTAATGCATGGAATAATAATGCAACACAAAATGTACTTAGAACAAAATGTATTGAAACAAGAAAGTGTACACAATATTTACATATAGTCTTTTGTATATTCCTGGTAAGACCGTTCCTGGAGAATGTGTTGACTGAGTCGCAGTCGGGCAGAGTCTCTGGTTGAATCTCTTGATTCCTGTATTTATCTATCCAACCACGAGGATAAAATGTGGCACAAGGCCGGTTTAAAGTGGGTATCTCCGAGCCCGTAGACTCGGCCAAAAATATGGCCTTTCTGAATCCGTCTAGACGGGTTCAAGGCCTGTCTAACACCCCGGACGAAACCCTGCCTCTCAGCAAAGCCTCGTCCGGGTCCCTCACTGCAAAATGCAGAGAGTTCGACTGAGAGTGAATCTCTTGATTCCTCCCTCTCTTCCCGGTACCAACCATATTTATATGGTCGGTACTCCACTATGCAAATTAGGTGGATCCTACCACAACAATAATAATAATAATATTAATAATACATCGGTACAATGATAGATTGGCTGCTTTTGAGATTATAGAGTCATTGCAAGTTCTACGAACCTGTCGATTCATACGTTTTTCAATTCAAAGTTGTCCTCCTTCTAGAATCGTTGTCTACTACGGCTAGAGAGTCCAGTCTGCCCAATCTTGCTGGGGGAAGAAAACATACCTTTCCACGGTCACCTCTCTCCCCCTCTCTCTCTCTTTTTCTCTCTCTCTCTGTCTCTGTCTGTCTGTCTGTTTCTCTCTCTCTCTCTCTCTCTCTCTCTCTCTCTCTCTATATATATATATATATATATATATATATATATATATATATATCTTTCACTCCCTGTAGTTCATTTCGCCTTAGTGGCACCATCGCCTAGTTTGGGGTGAATTGATTAACTCTCTCTCTCTCTTACTCTCCCTCTCTATATATATATATATATATGTGTGTGTGTGTGTGTGTGTGTGTGTGAGTGTGATTATTTTTTAATTTTTAACAGAATGAGTGGTTTTTATCTGGAGTTATGTAAATGTTTTATTTTCCGAAAACGGCCAGCAAATTGTGACCGTGTTCTTAGTTGATGTTATTGAGAGTAGGCTTTTTCTTTGGTATTATAAGGGCTCCTATTATTTCTGAACCATCTCTTATATGTGGATGAGACTATTATACTTGTATTTTCTAAAGAATCCTAATTTCTCTTAGAAATACTCTAAAGAAATACGCAACCGCAGTCGACCTAAACTAGAAAATTCAATTAATTATCTATTACAAAAAATTTAAAACAGCTTACCTTATCATAAAAAATAAAAGCACACAAACAAAATCAAAACTTCAAAGACCCAACATTATTCACGGGTTTAAATGCCCCGTGTTCCTGATCAAACCGAACTCATAAATAATTACATTGGTTATGTCTATCTAGACGACTCACGTTACACCTATCAATTAGAACTCATTTAAACACAAACGAAAACTTACCAAATTCAATCCGAAATATACTAGTAGAAAATAAATGCTAAAAGAATAGCCGAAAGCGCTCGGATATAAGAAATTTTGGACAATTTTTACATAGTTTGTGTCCAGAAAAGAAAACAATTGTACGAACACAAGAAAAAATAAATAAAACGTTTAATCGCGGTAGCTTGTCAGTCGTATTTAATGGAACATATATAAAAGACGAACTGTTGCCCAAACACACACACACACAGATATATATATATATATATATATATATATATATATATATATATATATATATGGTGTCTCAAAAATACCTTTACAAACGTTGGGACGGGTTTCTGACAACAAATCAAGGTAAAATGTCCATATAAGCATATTTCCAATGGTTGCCATCGTTGTATCTCAACGCAGCAACTGATAACAAATGTTCAAAATGTTCTCGATTTGTTTCTACGCATGCATGCATCCGTAGGATCAATGACTGGCGGACCCTTTCAAATACTCCCACACAGTGTTGAATGAAACGTTCATGTAGCTCCTCTGCATTAGTAATGTCTCCTGCGTAAACCAACATTTTTTAAGTGTCTCGAATCAAAAAATCCAAAGGATTGAAGTTGGAGAAATGTGCAGGCCGTGGAACCTGCCCCCCCTTACCAATCCATCTTTCAGGGTAGATGTCAGCTAGTGCATCGTGAACAATGTGACTAAAATGTGCTTGAACCCCATAATGTATGAACCATATGAGTATTCGTATTAACGCGTGTTCAACCTATAACAGGACTGGAAGTGTGTTGAAAATAAACTCACTGTAGACAGCTCATGAAAGACGTGCTGGGAGAACATATGGACCTACTAGACCATCACCTACAGTTCTAGCTCACATTAATCGTAAACTGATGCTGGTGTCAGCTTGTATGGCACCATGGGGATTCCGATCCACCCACAAATGTTGGTTGCGTAAATTTGTTATTCTATCTCTCCCAAATAATTACCTCCTCCGTAAACAAGACTGAAGTGACAAACAACGGAACGGCAGTTTGTGCTATAAATCATCAGCAAAAGTTCTCTCGTGGTGAGCGATCTGCACAGATTGCAAATAAAACAGATACAGGAAGTACTCTCCATGCAGGACTATGAGATGTACGACATGTTAGGGACACTTGATGCGTGTTGTTAGCTGGATCGCCCCCGTTACCCTGTAGAATGTGGTCAGGCGTACGATAAGATTTCGGTCTTCTTTGATCCATAGTTTGTGGTACCACGGATCCTGACTCAGCAACACGACGATAAACTGCAGTTTCGGTCTGGAAAAGTTTTGGTCACAGAAAATGTTCTATACTGTACCCCTACAATTATATAGTTTAAAATAAAACATGTTTTATGAAAACCGACCAATAATTCTTCAAGGTATTGACTCTTCACATACGGAGCTTCTTTCGACACATCGTGCATATTAGAATGGACGAAGAGGTGAATGATTGAACGCGGTTTCATGGTCTGAAGATTGCATGTAAGCATGAAACGAAGAGTTCTCACTTGGTGTTGACCTTTGTGATGAGTTTAATTTTACACAATCTGATATAGAGTACGTATATAGCAAACCTTAAACTGTATTTTTAGGCAAAAGCCTTTCTATGATTTGAGCACTTTAAGTCGCTGTCGTCTTTATTCCAAAATAAATACGTAAAAGTTCACCTTCATCCCTTCTGGAAACTGGTAGCTGAGGAAAAAAATCTCCGACTAATGACAAATCGGTTGTGTTTCAATCCTGGCTTGAGGTAATCGGGTGTCTAGCCACACTGAAGAGCCATGATACAGTGAAACAGTCTATTTGTGGACGATACACACACGCATATATATATATATATATATATATATATATATATATATATATATAATATATTATATTCAAAGAGAGTGAGAGAATGTGTAGATAGGAATCTAATAAATTTTCCAACGATTTGAGGACTTTCAATAATTTTCACCACTTTGAAAAAAAGAAAACGCAGATGTCTATTAAATACATGTGTCCACTAAAATTGACGACTCCAGTAAGAATATATATACATATATATATATATATATATATATATATATATTATATTTAGGACAACCGACTGGCAAATGAGTCCTAATTGAGCCATATATATATATATATATATATATATATATATATATATATATATATATATATATATATATAGAGGGAGAGAGAGAGAGACTACGAACAAAGCTTTCTAAACATATCTGGGAGATTGAAAACAAAAACCAAATCACGCCAAAAATACCATGTAATATAAGGAAAACGGCATCAGCCTACAACAACAAATGCAAAAACTGTAAACTCTGTCTGGGCGAGAAAATAGCTATAATTACCTTCCCAGATAAACACAAACTATTAAATAAACGATCAAAACTTTTTTTAGATTTTTTACTACGTTACATAAAAATCGAAAACTGAAAACGAGCAAGAATAAACAAAAATAAATAAATAAATAAATTAAATTAAACAATTAAACGATAATAAGTAATATAAATTCATCCAAACTAAATAAGTAAATAAACTAAGTAAATAATAAAGAAATTCGCAAACCACGTACTCATACATAAGTAGAAATAAACGTAATTACAACCAACAATTAAATAATAAATGAAAACGTTCGTAAACAACACTATAAATACCCAAAAAACTGCATCCCGATCCACAATTATCCCACCTCAATAGCTCCTAGAATATTCAAAACATAACTTACCCCGAAAAATCCCATTGGAATAAAACAATAGTCAACCTTAAATGCATCACTGAGCAGTATATATAGGCAGTCGAATAAAAAAAAAAACACATATGGCCTGACGATTACGCTTAGCATGAAACAGACTGTGGCCTTAAGGTTTTGATTCCAATATTCACGATTATATATATGTATGTGTGTGCGTGCGTGTGTGAGCGTGCGTGTGTGTGTGTGTGTGTGTGTGTGTGTGTGTGTGTGTGTGTGTGTGTGTGTGTGTGTGTGTGTGAGCATGCAAGTGATTGATACACGTAACCGTTGCGCGTTATTTATACGATTTTCTCTATTTCGATTTATAACAACATTTTTAAAAGTGATGAATTAAAGCATAAAACGGCCCGTTGTCTTACCGGGAGGATGGCAGATTTCTAGAAATCATTTGCCCTGAAAATATTTACCTTTAATATACTTACCTGTTATTTGCTGAGAAAGAAAGAAAGAAAGGAAACAAATGACATAGAAAGAAAGAAAGAAAGAAAGAAAGAAAGAAAGAAAGAAAGGTAAAATGACATAGAAAGAAAGAAAGAAAGAAAGAAAGAAAGAAAGAAAGAAAGAAAGAAAGGAAAAATGACATAGATAGATAGATAGATAGATAGAAAGAAAGAAAGGAAAAAATGACATAGATAGAAAGAAAGAAACCAACTGACAAAGAAAGAAAGAAAGACAGAAATCAGCTAACATTATTAGAAAGAAAGAACCAACTGACATAGATAGATAGATAGATAGATAGATAGATAGATAGATAGATAGATAAATAGATAGATAGATAGATAGACATAAAGAAAGAAAGGAATCAACTGACATTGTTAGAAAGAAAGAACCAACTGACATACAAAGAAAGAAAGAAAGAAATGAACCAACTGACATAGAAAGAAAGAAATACAGAAAGGAAACAACTGACATAGATAGATAGAAAGAAAGAAAGAAAGAAAGAAAGAAAGGAAGGGACCAAATAACATATATAGATAGATAGATAGATAGATAGATAGATAGATAGATAGATAGATATTGTTTGCATCTACATATGGATCTCTTCCATGTTAATTTTACTCTTGATATTATATTTCGGCGTTCAATTATAATTCCGTTTTTTTTTTGTTTTTTTTTTTGTTTTCTTTTGTTTTTTTGTTTTGTTCTTTTTTGTTTCTTTGGTTTTTTTGCCTTAGTTTTTGTCAGCGTCATTCTTTCTCACGCGCCTTAGCTACAGAGTCATTAGTTGTCTCTTTTCCTCTCTCAGGCACACAGTCTGATTCCGCTACCTCATATCTTCTTCTCTTCTTCTTCTATTCCGTGAATCATTTCTTCTCCTTCGCCAATATTATATTCAACCCAACACCTTTGCATATCCGCCCTCCATTTCACATCATGCTGATAATACCTTTTCTTAATTTCCATCTTCTCTTATTTCTCGTCAATTTTTAATACTTCGGTCCTTCAGGGAGAAACTTGGCCAAGTATTATTGCTTTCTTATCTCGTATTCCTTCTTAATTCTCCAATAGTTTGAGATTTCTTTCTTCCTTTTTGTATCAATTTGTTTGGTAATTTTTTTTCTTTCATTTGTTCAATCTCAGTCCTCGCTTTTCGATCATCTCCCACCGTCCGTCCCTACCATTGTATCCATTATTTTAATTGGTTGATATTGTAATAACGGCTGACCTATATAAGATTAACTGGACTTTATTTCACTAGCGAATGTCGCACCTTATCACCGCTTCATCATTCATTTTTTTTATCAGCTGCTTTAAAATCTTCATTTTTTTTTTTTTATTTACCGAAGTTATTTTTTTTTTAGCTAAGTAGTAAGATTTAAAGGGGAAAACGAATTTTGTTCGTTTTTTTTTTCTATTATACTTGCTTTTTTTTTTTTTTTTTTGACGGTTGATAAGTTGAGCGGTTTTATTCGAGAATGTTCGATATGAATACGTTTTCTTTTCTTTTTTCTTTATCCAAAAATCAATGTATTTTTTTTTCCTTTTGTCCTGACTGCCGTTTCGATCTATCTGCTCTTTTATAATTTTTCTCTACCATTATTTAATCGTAGTTGATTAAACCGACATTTTCGTTCCTCTTCTGTTGAAATCGTCTTTACTTTACTTTTTCAAATTCCTTATTTTCCATAAGCGTTACTTTTTTTTATTCTCCATTTATTAAAAAAAAAAAAAAAGTCTACATTTTTAATCACACCTTTTGCCATCCCCCCCCCCGCCACGTCATCATTTTGGAACCTCTTAAGTTCTCTTCCAATCATTGTTTCCATCCTTGTTTTATTTTGGTTTGGATTCTTATCTATTATCAAAACTTTCGTATGAAATACAAGTGCCGTCGAGAATAGCCGCGCCGGTCGGGGATTTTTTTAAATAAGCATTCGATTTTTTTTTTCTCAAAACAAAATTATTAGGCAACGGCGAAAATTGTTTGTAAAAATAAATAAATAAATCGTCTGCCGTACCAAATATAAATTCCGCCTGCAATTATCGCTTGTTTCCTGACATGATCTCCTATGATGGATTTTTCAATTACTACAAAAGAGCGTGCTGGTTCAAACAAATAAATATTCGGCCTGGAATATTTCTGCAAGTTTAATAAAGTTAGGACAATATAATCATGCCTTCGAGACAATTGTTTGAAAAAAAAAAGAAGAAAAAAAAGAAAAGCCTGTTTAATTTAAGTGCCGTCTGGAATAGACACACCGTCAAAAATATATAAACTCCTAAAATAATTGTGAACGTTTAAGAAAACGCTGCACCATTAATTTAAAGTTTAAATATTTGATTCGTTTTTACGTCTTATTAAACCTTTGTATCTTATTTAAAGCCAGAAAATATTTTTTAGATTTTATATATATATATATATATATATATATATATATATATATATAGATAATATTAGTGGAAAATATACATACATATGCAAAATATATAAATACCCATACATGTATATTTTTTTAAAAAAAATTCCAAGAGGAAGAATCCAGGTAGAACTCAATGTCTAGGACAGAGTAGGGATATAATAAAAAGGGCTTAAACATATATATATATATATATATATATATATATATATATATATATATATATAATAATGTTTTAGGGATACAATTAGCCGATAGGTGGGGAAAGAAGAGGGGGATTCACACCTTTCTCAAGTGGATTTGAACGTAAGTGAACTAAACTGGAATTGGAACTCGGCTCTCCTATTAACAAATCCGAGCTACTATCTATTAAACAAATCGCTTATCTAAACTTACAGCAGCTTGTATTCCCAAGCGGTCATCTATTGAGGTGCTGTTCATGATCGGCGTTGCTTAACTTCGGTGATCAAACGGGAACCGGTGTTTCAACGTATTATGGCCGTATGCTCCAGTAATATATATATATATATATATATATATATATATATATATATATATATATATATATATATATATATATATATATATATATATATATATATATATATATATATATATATGACAACCGACTGGCAATGCTTAGGCATTGTTTTTTCTTCATACCATCCCTTGTAGCTCGTGTTCTTGCATCAATTTGCGAAGAGTATGTTACTTGATGTTTCTCTTTTCCATTCTTGGTTTCAGTATGTTGCAAGAGTTTCGACTTCTACAAGACTTATTATGTATCCCAGAAATTCCAGCTGTCTCTTTCTGATTTTAAATAAAAAAGTCCATTCTGTTTGTGTTCTCGTCAAAATTTTATTAAGTATTTGCTTTGTTTCTAACTAAATTCTATCATTCATTTCTCACTCCTCCCCCCAACTACTGAACAGGAGGAGAAGTTTATCACTTGTTTCTTGCTTACGATTTGGTTTCTGGTTCCTTATAAGTCTTCTGGTTCCCGTACACTTCAAGTAATCCGCTGTGTCTTAGTGGCATTATCACCTTGGGTTGTGATGGTTCTGACATGATTAAAATAAAAATTAATTATTTTTTTTGTTTTTAACCATATTTTATCTTCCGCTTCAAGCACCTTTCTATTGAACCGGAGTTGAAGTTTGTCACTTGTTTCCTGTTTCAAATTGGGTTTCTACTTCCTTATAAGTCTTCTCGTTCTCTTACACTTCCAGTAACCCGTGGCGTCTTAGTGGCATTATCGCCTTTCTTGGAGTGACATGATTAAACGTAAAATAAAAGTATTTGCTAAAATCTAAGATTCATAATATTGATATTTCATTATTTGGTTTAACTTTGTTTTATTTTTTTATTATTATTATTTTGGCGGGATTTTTTTTCGCACGTATCGAGTTTTTCATTTTCTTCATAAACTTCATTTGGTTAATTATTAATCCTGATTCCCTTATATTCTTATTCAGGCTAGCCATTTCTTTATCATTTTTTTTTTCTTTCGACGCCATTGCTTCCTCTCTTTTGACTATTTTACATTCAGTATTTTATTTTATTATATCTACATTATTTGTTGTTTTTTTTTGTCAGATTTTAGTCACCATTTATTTTTATCTTTTGCTTTTATTTCACTTTTTTATATTTATTTCCTGTTTATTTATTCATTTTCTATTCCTTTGTCTCCCTTTCCAAACCATATTCCTTCCATCCTCCTCTCCTCACTAATTTCTTCGTTTCTTTGCATCTTTTCAACGTCGAGAAGTTTTTTTGGAATCTTTCTCCTTCGTCGAAAATGTAACTTCTTTCCGTTCTTCCTATGTTTCTAAACGAAGAGAAACTATGCCAATACTCTCATAGACTAAAAGATCTACCAATAATTACTTTTTCTGTGCTGATGCTCAACGTTTTGTTTTCTTGTTGTTTCATTTTTCTCAATAATCACGTATCGAAGCAAACTTGGAAAGTGCACTCGGTACAATCATTTTGATAGCAGATAAATACAGACAAAATGTTAAGTAACATTTACAGAATAATTATACTAAGCCTTCAGTATAAGCGGGGCACAGATAAATTTGACAATTCTTCTGAAAATATCCCCGTCAAATTTTTAAAGATTCTTACACTCTAATTGTTATTATTGTCTATTTTCTTTTATTTACTGCAGTTACTTTAAGGTACTTTCTAAATACGACGCACGATGAGGCGCCTCCCCAGGTTGATAAAATCAAGAAGTCCCCTTCCTGACAACTCTAGGATGGCAAGGATCGAACATGAATCTTATGGTTGGAAAGTGAACACCCTAACCACTCAACCGCGCATACATGTACATACCATATTGGTTAGTGATTAGAACGTTCGCTTTTCGACCATTAGACGCGGGTTCGATTCTCAACATTGTAGTTTTGTCAGAAAGGTGACTTCTTGGGAGGCGATCCTATCGTGCGTCACATTTAAAAAATATATATATATATATATATATATATATATATATATATATATAATTAAGTTATGAAGAACTGGGTAATCCCAAGGAGAATGAAATCCTGGGAGCTCAATGTTAATCCAGAGCTAATATTTAAAAAGAAAACAGACCACTTTAAGGTACCATTATAATAATTTATTTCACCAGAACCCTTTTAAAAAGCCCGTATCATCAGATAGCACTTCCCAAAGATTTTTGGGAAGTGCTATCTGATGGTACCTTAAAAGTGGTCTGTTTTTCTTTTAAATATATATATATATATATATATATATATATATATATATATATATATATATATATATATATATATATATATATTTTAATTCTGGTGTATATTCATTTCCTTCCTGGTTTCAAACCAGAAACCTAAAAGTCAGAAATGGCATAATGATATTTTCCACTGAGCATTTTTTGAAAAAATTAAACAAAGACAAAAAACAAAAAACATATAATACATATTTTACATAGATAAAGCTCATTGTAAGGTGGGAGTTGTACTTATGAGTACAATTTTTGTATTTCTTTAAGTCTTGGGCTACCACTGATACTTTCAATGAGTCTATCGGAACATTTACCAATCAAGCTACAACGGCAACTGGAATTGTTGGTGCCCTTATATGTTACAATTTTTGATATTTGATTTCAAGGTCCTTGATAGATTTTTGAAGATCTTCAGGGACTACCATATCAATAAAAAGGCACATTCTGTTTTTGTGGTCTTTGATTACGATATCCGGGCATTTAGCTTTGATTATTCTGTCTTTACAATAAGCTCCCATATAATTGTTACAGGTCCTAAGTCTGTACCCGAGTTTGAATGGTGTTCATACCAATTTCATTCAGTTAGCTTTAAGTAAAAGTTGCAGATTTTTCACTGGATATATTGGCCCACTTTGCCAATAACGTGCAACCTGATACAATTCTTTCTGTATATATATATATATATATATATATATATATATATATATATATATATATATATATATATCACATGATCTGCATTTTGCGCTAACACAGTTAGAATAAAGCCTGCAGTTTTAGCTTTTAACCTGCATTACGTAGCTACTGATGGATGCCTGGTTTGTCTATATTAGCTTGTTTGGTACAGGCAGAATATTAACTATTAAGATACTTATCTTGACATCGTTTCTGTATCTGGTTCATTGCATTTTCTTTTGCTTTCTTTTTAAGCTCTTTCCCGCTGCAATAGATGTATTATATTTTACTTGCATTTTTCACCCATTTCAAAATCCATTTTGAATTTGTTGGCTTCCTTTATTACTGAATATATTTTCTTGCTTCTTTCATGTTTTCTTTTTACACAGATCAACATCCGTTTTTTCTCTAGTGTTCCGGTATCTTTGAAGACTGATTGTTGGAGTTTCGTAAGACAGTTCTAATTGAACTAATCCTCTGCCTCCTCCGGATCTGCGCACATACAGACGATCAACATCAGCCTTAAGATGATGCATGCGGTGGAAAGTGAGAAGTTTTCTCGTTGTGACATCACCATGTCTGGACTAATAGCTGATTGTTCTGTCTTTGTGTATTATTATTGTTATGGGACCTTACCCATAATAACATAATGGACTATTCCATGCGTAATAAATACTGCGCCTCAAGAGGAAGCAGGGAGTTCAGTCCGAAGTCGGGCGACCGGCTAATCGGTTGAACTCTCTGCCTTCGGGCGGGGAGGAACCCGAACGAGGCTACGCCGAAGGGCGGAGTCTCTTTCGGGGAGATAAACCGACCCTGAACCCGTTTATACGGGTTCAAAAGGCATATTTTTGGCCGAGATCCCACGTTAAACCAGCCTTGTGCCACCTGATGCATTCGTGGGGTTGGTGACTAAATACCGTTCCGTCTGAAGTCTGGAGTGAAGTGTGAAGTCTGGAATGAAGTCCGTCAGGAGTCTGTCTGTCAGTCAGTAGGAGCGAGCGAGTCAGTCAGTCGAGTCAGAGGCAGTCCGAAACAGAGTCGCGGTCAGACAATTACTGCTAAACCTGATTGTTCGTACTAACACTTTCTACTTCTCTGTATATATTCCTGTTTGTAATATATCTGTGTTATTCCATATACGTGTTCGAGTTCTTCTTTATTGGTTCTACCTTGGACTATCACCGTGGTACGAGGAACCAGACCATAACAATTATTATTATTATTATTATTATTATTATTATTATTATTATATCTCGATTTTTGTAATGGTCACAGTGCCTACCAAGTCTGCGGGGAGACCTAAGGCAGGTAGCTGTGTGTTGTTATGGCTACATTTCAGTATTTCAGTACTTCCATAACACCACTAGCGTTACATGGACAAAGTTCTTTTTAGTGTGTGAGCTGTATTTATCAAGACAATTTATTATTATTATTATTATTATTATTATTATTATTTGTTGCTTTCTGCTCTGGACAATCCCTTACCTGGTCATTACCAGAAACCAAGTTAAGTCAAAGTTGCAAATATATGCATTCTGTTTGCGCCCATGAGATGTACAGCGTTTATATTTACTTCACATTAATCTTTTGAGTAGATGAAAAGTTCCCCACTGTGTCATTTTTTAGGCTCTTCGTATATTGTTAATCTGATTTTCTTTTTATTAATTGACCGTATCCAAGTATCCAGTTATTATAGGTGAAAAAATGGACTTAATATACCACATTGTTTCAGTTTTAAGATCCTTAGGTTTGTCATAGTCTTTAATAGAAAAATGTTTAACTCATTGTTATGATAATTTACCCACACACGCATGGACTCTCCCAGCTATAAATAGGAGCAGGTACTGCCATTTCGAGAGGGAAGTTTCTAGCAGGCAGCTCTGACAGTCGGACTTAACATTCTTGCTGTAACACGCTCGTTTTTATATGTTTGTATTACTGTATTTTTGTTAATATATTTCTTTAAATCAATTCCTCTCTTGTGTCTTTATTTCTGGCCCTAACAAGGCCACAACACTCATTAAAGTCATATCAGTATAAATGAATGGTCTGGCGCGAAACCAGGCGTAAAGGAATGT